TTTTTTATATATATGTATAACGTCTATTAGACCGGACGGACCTGACATCCGAGACGCGTGACGTTTCGCAGCGGGACGTCCGGGGAGTCTTGTTTTTACGCAAACACGCGGCCCACCGCACTCTTGCGCGCCGGGAGACGATCATATTATAGTGTTTAGTGATAGAGAAGAGAAGAGTGGAAAAAAAGTCACCTCTGCTCGCGGACTATCATAATAATACGGCTAATACCCGGTCGCGAAACTCCTTCAAAATATACACGACGTCCCGATGCGTGTATTTTGACACGCCGTCCCCGAGGCCTTATACTGAAGCAGTGGTCTCACGAGTGGGTGTGTGATCGACATTCTTATGTATATAGTAGTTACCTGTAACCATCGTTCTACAAAAATATCGTATTATATTATTTTACACGCGCACCACCGCACGTATTTTTATCCGGATAACACTATCAATAATAATATCGTCGAACCGGTCAAAAATGAAAAGAATAACACGCATCTCACCGAAAATCAAGATTAATGATTTTTCGACTTTGTGGAGCACGTGCGGAAATAACATATTTTATTTAAATTCCGAACGGCAATTATATTATTTCAAACGTTCGTCGTGTGCCTATATATTACGGCAGTCATCAAAAACACCACCACCTACAGCCATAATTCTCGTTGCATCATGTTTGTTTGAATTTATTTATAATAAATGGATATTAAAGTCCAGTTATTATATATAATTTTAATTGACACAATAGAATCGCACTAGTGGCATACGAATAGCAAAGCGTGATTTTTATATTTTTTTTATTAGGAGGTATAGAAATATAAACTATTTATAAAAAAAATGTGAAATTTGATTATGCAAATGAGGGGATTGGAAGTCAAAATTCTCAAAAGGCGCATCCTCGTATTAACGCTTTATTCCATTTACACACAAAATATCATCCTCCTGGTATCATCTGAAGACTCGGTAGAGGTATTAAATTGGTAAACCTTTTTTTTACAATGTTGAAAACATACACAAATCAGCTTAACCCTATTGGTAATATCAATTGATATCATTATTCGTTATATTTTAACTTTATTGATTATTGTTACTCTAGGACGTCCTCTGCCTCTTTTGCCTTCAATTTTTCCTTTTAAGATTCTGTGGTGCAGTTCCTGCTCATGTCCTAAAGTGTATCCAGTTAGTCTCCATTTTCTTTATTTAATTAATATTAACAATCTTTTACGTCCATCAATTTCTTTAAGTATAATACATAATAATGTATATTATTATCTATTATGTAAAATCGTATTTTTTATTTGTTCTACTTATACACTATATACACTTATTTATATCGATATACTTACGCGAATACGAAAATACACGCATAATATAGTATTGCACATACATTTATATTTGTGTATGAATTATTGCTATTTATGATGACTTTTATATTTACACTCATTTTATTTATGAAGTTGTTTCGTATGATACTTAATAAATAATAAAAGAAGAGGGAAAAATGTATATGTTTATCTTTTTCCGACTAAAAGACACAATACCATACTATTAGGGGGTAGGTTAGATTAGATTAAATGAAAATTATTCGTGTAGCGTTCGTAATCAAAACAAGGCTTAACTAACTTAGCCCTAACTTAATTTAAGATCTCTTGAACAATCTCGTATTACTTTTATAAATACGTTAACGGTATGCTGCTGTAATACATTATGAATGCGAAAAAGCTGAAATTATTTAAAATACATCACTAATATCCAAAATGATTAATATTATATCATAATGATTTGTATTTATATATAATAATTTAGTGTTCTAGTGTTTTATTATCATTTTTTTTTTTTTTCAGAAAAATGTCATGTTTTTTCTGTTTAAAATTAACACCATAATATTTTATGGACATTAGAAAATATGGTAAAACAATTAAACGTCGGTTTATACGGATATTAGATTTCGTCAAAAAATACACATTTTGTAAGTAAGGAGGGAGAGGGGAGAGGTTCATTGAAACGGACCTGTACTGTATACAAAATATGCTTGGCGCTTTATGTGTGTGTATCGGTGTACGTAAACAACTAATCGTTTCATCTTTTTATCGTTTAAATTATCGAATATTTTCGGGATCTTAAATATTATATACCTTTGACTGCTGTGGTTACAATGTTGAGGATGTTGATTTGAATCTACCTAGAAAGTGACAATAATATATATTATATGGGCAGATACGCGGCGGTGGCGTTAAACGGGTGCAGTTGTACGTGTTCGGAACACGACACACGGACAGAGAAACAAACACCGCGCGGTTTCGAAAACTTAGAAGGCTATTTTATTTCGTCTCTGCGGTCTCTAGGGAATCGATCGAATGACCGCACTGTATAATAATAATAACAATATACGAAATTATTGCGGTAATGTCGTTACATAAATGTGAAATACCAGTGGTAGGTATACTTGTATATAATATATAGTATTCTCGTGTGCGTGTGCGTAGAGTCCCCTCCCTCTCCCCGGAGGCTATATAACGCGCACGAAAACGTCGACGGGCATAGCACCTATCACCGGCACATGCTATCATTATTATTATTATTATATAATATCGTTTCGGATCCGAGGACCGAAGTGGTCTATATGGGACCGGAAGCTGCGACGACGACAACGATGACGACAACGAAGAGACGGGTGGGAGCTGTGGGTCGATGAAGAGATCCTGCGGGGTGGAGTGTGTATGGAGGGAATGGGTCCGTGGGCGTATAGACAAGGGAGGTGGATTGGGGAGGGAGAAGCTCACACGATATAATATATTACATACATATATATATATATATATATGTATATGTAGGTAGGAGAGGGCGCAGCAGCAGTTCTGTAGGACGCGGAGTTATGGTCATCGATCAAGTGCGCCCTGTCAACCTGAAACACCCGGGACACGGGACCCCGCACCGGGGTAAGGGTATCCCTTTGGTAACAAACACACACACATACAAACACACGCACACACATACGCACTGCACGATATATTATTCCGTTTTCCTCTCGCCACGGATATAACCGCAAACCCGCGCGCGCGGTAGCCGACCAATTAAAACAAAAATTAAATAATTGTTTCGGGTCATTGCTGAAGGAGATTGATGGTATGTGCGTTTCGGAATAAACACTTCTTCGCGCGCCCGCATCACACTGCGTATAATACGTCATATAGATATACAAATACGAGCCAAAAAGAACGCGCTCGGTTTGAATAGACACGACAATTTATAGGACAAGATGTGTCCTCTTTTACGCGTCTGAGAATGTTCACAAATTCGTTGATGGTAACCGTGGTGATTATTTCCCCCTTTGGAAGCGTCTACAAAATATTAAAATTCGTTTCATTTCACACTGTTTCCGAATCGACCACAGAATTTTGTCACCATATCGGATAGACGGAGACGACCCAGGACTAACAATCAGTAATTATTATTCATCGCCTCCAGAATATTATTAATACGCCTGTTATGTCGATGACTAGACGGGTGGCGGTACACGCGTTAAACCGCACTCACACTAATGATCATTTACAACTAACACAAAGAGTAATGTAGCGAGATTATAAATTGCTAATAAAGGACAACATTTATGTTGTCCTTTAAACAATAACCACTAAGAACCGCCTTAAAAACATTTGGAAACGAGTATGTTATCAAATAATATATTAAATTTAATAGTAGGCATTGTGTAATTTTAAATTTCACTATTTTAGTTTTGTTCAATTTTATTTTTATTTTATATATAAAACTAAGTAGAAAATGTATTAAAACCTTTTTAATAGTTTCGTTGAACGGGAGTAATTAGTTATAGGACAAGTTTTAAATGAGTATCTCTGTTGCCCCCTTCGCTATGGATTTATAACCTGTCAAAATAATTCACTATTAATTTGTGACCGGTAACTTGTAACGCATTTGTGATGTTTCGCACGCAAAAACATTAATATGTTGATGACATATTTATTGCACAATTTTGAGCAGTGTAATATTATATAGTAAGCCATTTTAATCGGGATCTGAAATTATCAAAACTTGTGATTATTATCAACCTAACGAAACAATAATATACTCGTATTTACATTTTCGTAGGTATGTTTTTCCGTAAATTCATTCATTGAGCCACTAATGATTTGTGTCCTTTTGCAGTATAATAAACTACTTTTAGGATGAGTGCATTTCGAGTAGACATCTCATTTTATTTAGAAGTTATAAAAGTCACTAAAATATGGACAGAGTTATTACGACAAAAATTAAGTTTCGGCAAACCCTAAACGTTACGAAGTACTAAAAACGAATTTAATGTTATTTTATAAACACTTTTATATTTTTCGGAGCTTGGTATGTTAGAAATAAACATCTCTAAGACGTACCTGTTTAAGTTGTACGGATATTGAAATTTAAAAAAAGATATTTAAAAGATATTTTGTGAGGCCACAGTAATAGCAATAGATCCCTATCGCTACGCTCCGAATCTAAAATGATAGATATATTAAAAAAATAACGTCACATTAATATTCATATAAACAAATATACATTCCACGATTCACTCGGAATCTTAAATGTATATCTTCAGGGGTTTTTTTTTTTAAATGTTAACTTTAATATAGGTACCGACACACAAAAATTTGTGTTTTTCTGACTGAAAATTAATGAAATTTGGATTTAAAAATAGGTAGCAGGTAATAACTAATAACAGATACAAAAAAGATCAAGTGAGGAGATGTATACCTCTAATCTTTTCACCCCTCCCCCCGTAAATACACCACTGTATGCATTTATAATATGATGTCGATGTGCATGTGTATATTACATAATAATTATAACCGTTAATGTATATTATATTATATAATATTTTTAATAGAAATATATCGATAACCGAAAATATCTATCGATATACGGCTATAAAAAAATTAAAAATCAATACTCGATTATACCGCGATTATGAGCTTAATAAGAATATTGTAGTTAATCAGTCGATCAGTGTTTGCCGGCGACCTCAGGTGCTCGGTCATCGTTTTGCGTCCGGACCGCCATTATAAGGCTGTAAAACACACGGCTATTTATTATTGTGTAGTGCAACCGAAAACGCAACATCGCGGTTAATTAACACATCGCTGTTCGGATGGTTATGGTTACGTAACAACAACAATAATTCGTAATGGTGAACGATATTCCGTTGGAAACGTGGAACAAAACCGACGAATCGACGTAAGTATACAAGAGTTTTTGTTTTTCAACGATTAGCGATAAGCGCACTTATCTACAAAATATAAACAGATGTATTGGTATTTTTTTTATTTATTTTTTTTTTTTTTTTTTAGGGTTCTCCTCTCTTTAAACAAAAACAACGACGGGCATTCGAAATCGGTGTACGACGCGTACCAAGGTCGGATTTTGATTCTTTTCCTGGCTTTTACATTACTGATTTTCACGTTCGCGATATCCGCCGTTGATCTTTGGTCGGATCTTGGATCAAATGACGGCGATCAACCCGTACAGGTAATAAACCTGGAGAGTTGAACCATAAAATAATTGAGCACTGATTTTACCTTAGGAACGGTAAACAATGCACTTATACATATATATTGTAATATAAATCTAGTCATATAAATATGTATATACGTATATAATATAGGCTACTTGAAATTAAACAATAGATAACAACGATTACATATAATATTACGAATATCAATTCCGTTTTTTTTTACATCAAAATTATCCGAATTTATTGTATATTATACATGAATATTTTTATGTATACACTATACACATGTCGTGTTTACCGGGTAATACGTTAAAAATTGATTAACTGCTATATTTTATTTGTGTTTTGACCGTCGATCTGTCGTGACCTCCTGGCTCCTGAACTTAGCTGAATACGTAGTAGTTGGACCCATACAGTCTTATGTACTTATATGTATGAACTATATATTATTGGATTTATAAATTAATAGTATAATTATTGTAAGTTTATTATTCGTGTAATAATAAATTATGTGTTTAATATATTAATATTATTGAATCGTTAAATGATAAAATGGGATTTCTGGTAATAATAAAAATGCATTCTATTTACAATATTAACATTTTACGTGTTTGTAAAAAAAAATTATTCATTCATAAATTAAATTATGGAATTAATTATACCCGCACATTCGCGCTTGTACGTGTGATGTAAATGTTTAGAATAATTATTATATTTTAACTATGATTTAGCTATTTTTGTCCATTGAACATATTACATTGATTAATACATTAGATAAGAACAAATTCATTGAAGACTTCGCCGAGAAAAAGCTAGACAAATTGGAATCTAAATGTGATTAATGTCATGTGCATATTAACATAATAAATACGATTATGTTACTTATGATTAATACTAGTAGCTTATGTATTATGTATTTATATTTTAAAAAGTATTAATTTAAAGAAGCGTTTACAAAATTATTATGTAACAAAAAAAAGCACTTATTTTGAACATTTTTAGCTTTAAGCTAAAATTATAATTTATAAATCGTAAGGGCACATTTTGAAGTTTCACATCAGGCGCAATATTTGGTTGCTACGGTCCTGGAGATATAAAGCATTAAAGGGGATTGAAAGCAGTGATTTTTTTTTAATTTGGCGTAGTTCTCTTCTGACTTGGGTAAAAAGATCGATCTTATAGTGAAGCAATGAAAATTCTGAATATAAATTTCAATATATATCGTCAATTCTAATACTTGAGATCGACTTTCTCGCTTTTTGATTTTATTCTTGTAAATACTAAAACAATTTTACAAAAAATAGTGTATAAATGAACAATTGTCATGTTTCAATTTTTGATCAAATATTTTCCAACACATTGCGCATTTGTGAGACAAAGGTAGAAAATCACCGATTTCAATCCATTTACCATTATATTATTTTAAACAGGTATAATTTTGGATTATATTTTTTAATCACTATACCAGCATTGCGATACATCATGCAGTAATATAATAAATATAAAAAAAAAATCAAAAACCAGTTTGGCTTTTTTTTTTTAATTATATGAGTTACTACAATGAAGATAACACAAAACTCACGGATAAAATGAGACTAAAAACGAGTTTTACGCGATTATATTTAACATAGGTCTATATAATATAATCTACATTTTAGAAATATTTGAAACTTTTTTTTTCATTGGTAAAGTTGTTTGCGAAATATATGTTTTTAACTTTAAATTTATTCTACGTTTTTCAAATGCTTAAAAAAAATTAAATTAAGACAAATTCTGAAAAACTCATAAAAACGCTTCGTCGCATATGTATAATGTTCTCCTCCTCGATATAAAATGAATATGCTTCGTATTTATTTTGATTGTAATATTGTGTTTATCTCTAGATCTGGTAGTACTGGTTTTGAGTAAATATTATTTCACAGTTCGATCGTATCGTAAAGCATATTATAGAACTGGCGGGAATAAATACTAGTTATTTTCTTTATACCTATTTGGATATGTTACTGTCGCGGCTCTAATTAATGCGATTTTGTCAATTTTTTTCAAACAGTCGTCACTACATCCGATTGCAATCGTTGACGGTCACTTTAGTTTCGAAACCAGCGAATATCTCGTCCGTTGTGCACCTATCGTCCGTTGCGACTCTGGCAACAAGTACAGAACTGCTAACGGGACTTGTAACAATCTGAACAATCCGATTTGGGGTTCGTCAAACACTCCATTTGTCAGACTTGTCAAAGCGCACTATAGTGACGGTAATAACATGTATAATACTATAATAATAAAACTGGTCTATACGATGATAGTAGGAAAATAGATAGTATATTGTCGTAATAGTAACCATCATGATAAATATATATATATATGTATATATATATATATATAGAGAGAGAGAGAGAGAGAGAGAGATCTATAATAATGGATTAATGACGTAAATGATCGTCAGGATGTTTTTAAAATAATTTTAACTCGTTTAGAAAAAGCCGTTATTAAATAAAAAATTACAACAATAGAAAAAAATTAACTTTCCCGTTTTTCCTATGTTTTTTTCTGGATTTTCCCAATTACTGTGAAACTGTTTAGAAAATAAATAAAACCTCTATATAAAGTATCAACTAGATCCAAACTTCTACAAAAAAGCTCTCCTGTTGTTTCTTGATTAGAATACGATTTCCGGTAGAAAAGTAGTTCATAAACACAGACAAATTCATACATCTCATAGTAAAACCATTTCATAATAAAAGTAAACTACATGTATAGAATATTTTAAACAAATGAAATACCGATATTTTTTTCAGTTAACCTTTCCCTTAAATGAGTTTCAGATACGCTACTAAATGTTATTATCACACTATCATGCATACATGATAGTTTGATAGCTACTATCTCACGAGTAGTAGTAGGCATAATACTATCACAGTATGAACACATATACTATAGTCCTATTTTACTGTCGTCACAAACTTTTCTGTGTATCAATTCACTCTATACTATATTATACTTAGTGGTCAAAACAAATTTTAGTGTAATTTAGTATTTTTTTTATAAGAGTTTAAATATTAAATTTAAATAAAAACCGTAAATATCGCGGCCTTTCAGAACATGTATAACCGAACTTCGCTCCAAATCGTTTTTCGTTAATAATTATTTATCAGCGCTTAGAGATATAAATCTTTATATAAACAACTTTATGTATCCTAACTTCCAAACTTCCCACCTAAAACAATAGCACACCCATCCCCAGTATCAGTTTTTTTTTATCATTGCAGAGTTGAATAACTTGCAAATAAAATGCACAATTTGCTTTTATTAGTCTATATTGTTATAGTGTGACCAACATTCTATACAATTTTTTGAAAATAAAACAAATAATTGTGTTAATAACAAAACACGTTTAAAACAGTTGTATGTAACTAAATGTACTGTTTTATAATGATGTGTGTTATTTTTATTTTTTTTACTATCTGTAATAATCTTTTCTACCAGGAATTTTGACCTAATAAAAAAAAGGCGATAATTTTTTCGTTGCATTTTGGATTTAGTGCTAAATGCTTCGTTAATTCATAAATAATTAAATACTAAATAATAAATAGTTAAATTATAAAAATAACTGAATATTAAAACACATGTTAAGTTAAACTTCGCTCAGAATAATTTTTTTTTAATAATGATTTATCATTTCGTACAGGTATAAATTAAATAACTTTATTCTACCATCCGAATTCTTTACCTACAACCCTCCGTCTACTTCACACCCAGTATCAGCTCTTTTAAGGTTCTTAGTTGTAACAAGAAATATATTGGTTTTTATATATATATTTTACTATAATGTATGCAATTCCTTTTTCTGTTTGTAAACTACTCTTCTACTAGAATTATTGCTTGAATCAAAAACTTTTTTATTGTTGATCTAGTTGGTACATTGATAACATCATTTTTCGATTTTCCTTGTACTTTTCTTAACAAATAAGAAAAACTGGTAATTTTTCGTATAATTTGTATTAATTTCTAGGTTACCTTGACACAAGGGGAAAATGCGTTAATAATACTTTGCTCAAATCTTTTTTTCGTTTATGAGGGTTCATAATCATCTATACAAACAGAAATTAAATTACTCATATATTTTACCTTCTCTTCTAAAGCAGTTGGGGACACACCCATCACTAGAATCAGCCTTCTTATATTTAATATAATCTCATATTTAAATTAATAATGGTAATAATATTATGTATATAATTATAACAATAATTTATATTTAAAAAAATAAATATTAACAATAATGTTATGAGTATTATATATCTCTTTGCAAACTAAATCAACATAAATAATTGTATTGGTACTATTAATTGTAGGGATATACACTATACAGGCATCCAAAATGCAGTTATACACCCACAATGTTCCCACAATAAATGATTTGAAACGTCTTAAGCCCTACATTTCACAAGATTCTGTTTCCAGATTTTGAAGAACAATTTACGAGTGACCAACTCACTAGTAACTTAAACAATAAATTTTAATATTAAATAAATAACTTAATAATTTAATTTCCAAATTGCTTAAAAGAATAAAAAAATTTTTCATTGCAAAAACAAAACCTACTTCTAAAACCATCACTGTGTTTAAAATGGTTAAGTGCAAAAAAGGAACATATCCAACAATTAAAAATGGGTCTCATTATGCATTCATATTAATTTTAGGAAAATATTAAGATGAATAATTTTTGAAAAGGTGAATAACGCTATTTGTTCATTTACGTCTAGCTCCTTTTAAATCTTGCATAGACAGTTTTATCTACCTTCTATAAAATTTGGTTTTAGGAACATATCTTCTTTTTTCAATTAGTGATTCATATATTCTCTCACAAGGCTCAAAACTTTTTTATAACTTAACGTTTTAAAACTAAGGGAGTATAAATAATAAGTGATAAGGGAATAAGGGAATCATAAAATAACAAATGATAAGGATTCTAGCTTAACAAAAACTAGATAAAAAAAATTAAGTGCAACCCTCCCCCCTTAACAAACATTTGTCTAGCTACAGTACTACTTGATTACTAACTTTATGGACTTGAGATCTAATTACAGGTTAAAATTTAATGTACTTTCTACGAATAATCAAAGTAGAATACGATAATCCGATTAAAATTATGTTGTAACTGTAATAATGGCTTTTTTTATTTTAATCTTTAATTTTTATAAGATAAGCTTTTTTTATATTGTGATAAACGGTTTAGTCTATCAACAAAAAAAAAAACAGAGGTTTACAGAAATTACACTATACAAATAAATTTGAAAAAGTTTTCATCGAACTTTTTTTCAAGGAATCTCGAAATTACGCGTATCGTCCGAAAACAACAAACCTTTGCCGAGCGCTCGAGAAATCCAAATACGGTTGTTCTTAAACAAACAATCAAAAATACCCGACAAAAACAATCAGCTGCTAATGCAATGGGGTCAGTTTATCGCCCACGACGTCTCTAATTTGGCGGTCGATACAGACGGAAGAGGTATTACTGAATAACCAATATTAACAATAATAATAATATTCGTTTTATCGAATATGATCGAACGACGCAGGCACAGTTTGACTGGATTTATTTCAGATTGTTGTCTGTATGGACCGGATCTACCATCATGTGAAGCCACGATAAAAATACCGGTGGATGACCCCGTATATTCCGAGTACAATAAAACATGCATGCGATTTACTCGGGCGATGACATCTAATAACTACAGTTGTCCTTTGCAACCGTCGACATTTGTAAGTTTGTATTCACACGAAATACATTTACGTTTTTTTCTTGCTGACTGCTATACATAATATCATTCAAGAAAATGAACAATTCATATCGATAACTTGACTATGTTATTTTCGTAGATGGACGACGCTTCGCATTTTATCGACGGGTCCCAAATATACGGTTCCAATGACTACATCATGACGTCTCTGCGATCATTTACCGACGGTACTCTAAAATCAGTTACAGCGGACGACGGCCAAGAGTTTTGTCCGCATTCTTCCGAAGAGTCACCATCGGGTGCCAATAAATATTTTTACAATTCCGGTAAAAACCACGATAATACATCATGCTTGGTCGATTTTAAAAGTCATTGTATATATTTGTTTATTATATACTGTAGGAGATTCACGGATAAATATGAATCTCGGATTGGCACTTTTTCATAACATGTTCATGCGGTTTCACAATTACGTGGCGTTCAAATTGAAATCCGCCAATTCCACATTGTCCGACGAAACGTTGTTCCAGGAATCCCGGAGAATCGTCGGCGCGGTCATCCAACACGTTACGTACACGCAGTTTTTACCCATCATTTTAGGTTAGATTTTTAATGTAAGTCAACATCGAATTAACTGGATAATATTTCAAAAGATTTTATGTACAGGCAAAAATTACACCGAAAACATAATATTGGTCGACAGTAAATACGATCCTTCAGTGAACCCGTCGACGTCACAAGAGTTTTCGGCCGGCGCTTTTCGCGTGCTCCACAATATCGTACCAGCCCAACAAAGGTGAGATCTATAAAATCGTGATAATATTATAATATATACTACAGGATGATCTATTTAAGTGGGTACACTCAATATTTCGAAAAGTAATTACATTTTGTTTTTTTTTTGAAAATTTAAAAAACAATAGCTGCTCTAAAATTTACATTATTTTTGTCACCCAAATTTTTGGAGGTGAGACGACTAGCTACTTTTGGTTTTCAAAATTATGTAAATATATATGGAGTATTAGTTAAAATAATTGTTGGTGTTGACATTTTTGGTTTCCGTCAGTCTGTTGATGAGATATTCCACTTTTAAATTTTAACCATCCAAAAAATAATACTCTACTAGTTTTCACTAGTTTCAATAAAAAAAAAAAAAATATAAAAAGGTATATACTTTCCGAGATATCGAATGTTCCAACTTAAATAAACCACTCTGTATATCGTATGATCGTGTACTCAGAAAAGGGCAAAATAAATCACTATCTTTTTCTCTTTTCAGTTTTTTAGAGGCTTATTGCTGTACAACAAATACTTCTCCATCTGTCTCTATCCTGAGCTACTTCGTTAAAATTGTCTATGTCTAATTGGCTTAGTTAGTCTTTTACTTTTTTCGATCTCTACTTCCATCTTTCCACCAATTTCTTCTCCCAAAGTGTCTAGTTTGGTAAATAGTATATCATTTGTAATTGTTTTAACCCTTATTACGTGACCCAACCAAACCAGTAGGTATATTCTTCGGAATAACGAGTATGACTACCCTAAAGTCTCTGAGTCACGTTGGGCTGTCCATTTATAGAAGTTAGACGTTGGACCAACCACCTAACTCGTAAAAATAAAACGGGTTCCAACAAAAAACCAACAATACTGCTCATAATTAATAAAGTCGATTTTGTCGCTCATGAAATATGAAATCTGTCATTTTAGACTGGTCGATTCGAATTATACTACCGTACGGGTGATAAACGTCACGGACTGGATGAACCGGCCGTATCTCCTACAGGAACAAAGCTCGAATTTCGATAATCTACTTAGAGGTATGCTGTACACCGGTGGCCGCTCCAGTCAACATTCATACAATTATCTGGTAATTATTATTGTTTACTCGTACATTTCATAATCAATTATAAAACATATTTGTATCACGTCTCCCTACATAGATTTCTAATTTTATGTTTCATCCGGACAATTCGGTGATTGGCACGGATCTCCTGTCGTACGACATCCAACGGGGACGGGACACGGGTCTACCGCCTTACAACAAAATGAGAGAACTGTGCGGACTGTCCGTCGCCTATTCATACGACGATTTGGCCGACGTCATACAATCTGACGTCAGTTTTTTTCATAACCATATTCACATATTATATGAGATACCTAGTTATTTTTTTTCCTAGGACATTTATAAATTAGAAGAACTTTACGACTCTGTCAACGACATTGACTTCTTGGTGGGTGCACTATTAGAGACGCCCGAGGACGACGCTTTGGTCGGAAAAACCTCTCGGTGTGTCATAGGAGACTTTTTCCGTAGATCACGAACCGGTGATCGATTTTTCTACGACAACGACGCAGAACACCCCGGAAAGTTCTCCAAAGGTTATTTATCGTAGATCTTTCTGCAATACAATAATATTATTAACTATGATAATAAATAAAAAAATATAATATTATGTATTACTCGTTTTCAATTAATTATATACATTTTTTTTTATTTTTTTAAGATAAACTCGAAGTAATAAAATCGATTAGTCTGGATCATGTTATATGCGCTACATCGCTCGTAGATCACTTGCAAAATAATAGTTTCACCAAAATCGATAATGGGTAAGATTATAATATTCAGTGGTGTCAAACCCTATTTTTAAGTTCAACTCTTGGCCTTGAAATTAACTATTCTTTAAATTAAATATTGAAAATTAAGTTTAGATCCGCTTGATTTTAGGCTGAAATTTAGTCGCCAAAGCAATTGAATACTTTATTGCAAAAATAAAAACTTACACTAATTAAAATGTTGGACATAAAATGTGTTTAGTTATTGGAGTTTCTTGAAATATATTTAGCTGAACTACATTTTTAAGACTTAAACGTAACTGATAATATTTACCAATTACATTTTTTAATGTTGATATTCCCATTAGACATCCAAATATTTATCTAGTCCAGAAATTATTAGGATAATGAATATATTGTTTACTGTTTATTTGAAAAAAATGTGCCTGTAATTGAGTTGACTGTGGGTTCGATATAACAAAATCCTTATTCCCTGAAAGTAAATGTCTGTACGAATATTTCATTAGCACAAATTCTCATTTTGCTTAAATTGTATATTTTAACCCGTTAAAAATATTTTCACGTTAAAATTTTGGTATTTCAAAGCTATTGTATTACATAATATTTATGTTGGACGTATTATTTTGAATTAGTATTTAATAAAGAAAACAACATACTGTTTTAGATGGTATTCTTCTATGAAATGGGACTGCGATGAAAAATATAAAATCGATTTCAAACCGTGGGAAGAAGAACATTGCAGCAATTAAGTTTTATTAAAATAATATGTTTTTTTTTTTTTTAATGTACATATAATTTATCAACTATTGTCTATTTTTAATATTTTTTTATATGATAAATAATATTATAATATAATACCAACATAAGTTATGCTTATGATGTTTAAATTGTATACTTGTTTTTTTTTTTTTATATACAATTTTTTAACCATCTTATCTAACCTGGCTATGCTATCTGTAAAATATAAAAAATAAAGCGTTATTATAATTATTACGTTTTCATGTACACTCAGCTTTGTAAACAAATTATTTTGAACAATATTTAAACAGGAATAATATAATATTATTTTATACTCATACTAGATGCTAAGCGTAAACATTTTTGGTTATAGTTTTTTCGAATATTAAGATAAAGGAGCCTCGGTAATGTTTACAGTTTATATTGAAACGAAAGAAAAAAGTAACTTAAAAAATACCATAGTAATACAAATATTATTCATAAAATGTACATCTGTAGGTAATCCATAAGATAAAACTATAATATTATGTCGTTATTATCGCTGAATGGTATGCGAATTATATTTTTCCAAATAAACCAAATTATTTAAAAATGTTATAATAATGCTGGTGAAACGTTTTTCTCTACATCCGGGACTAGTTTCTCCACCATTTCGAAAGAAGTAAATATCGAGGACACTGAGTTGATCAAAATTAACAATGTTATTCCCCAGATTCTAAGGAAAATATCTAACATAACTAATAAACTATCTCCGTATACAATAAAAGAAATAGACCCACTCTCGTCTGTATATGTACAAGCCCGAATTTAGACCTTTAGGGGCCCAGGAGCCAATACATAGTTGTGGACCCCCACCAACGAAAACAACATTTTAAAATAATAAAAATGTATAATAAAACAAAATTAAACCTTCTTAATTAAGTATAATGAAAATATTAAAAACATATTATTTTTTATTATAATATCTACTAATAAAATTAAGCACGTATTTTATGTATGATGGGAGCGGCCACTGTTGTAGGTAAGAAGTTGCAAAGGTAGAATACATAAGATTATTTTTTTTACATCTGTAAGCAACGATAAACCATTGCTTGGCGAAAGACGATTCCGAGTGCAGTTCCGTAATACATAATTTGAATTGTAGTAATTTTCTTTGCGATTTTCGTTTAAATTCTATTTCAAAACGCTTATTAAAAAAAAGTTCGATGATTTTGGAAATTTTACCCCGTCTAGGAAGGTCCAATATAAATATTATTACTAAGTTTCAAATCTTAACGTGTATTTAAAACCAAATTACAGCAAAAAACTTCCAAAAATAAAAATTCTTAAAAGCTCAAAAGTGGCTCAAAAGTTTTGGCAGTGATACCGTAAGAAAGTAAATCAAAAAAGCAACAAAAAAAATATCTTGTAATTTTTTAATTAAATAATTTTTTTTTTTTGGCAAAAACCGTCGTGCATGTTTTTATAAAATAAGGAAATCGTGAAATTTTACATTTTCCTATGTTTTTACTCACTTAAGTGCTTTTATTTAAAAAATGGCGTCGAAAATCAATAATTGACTTTTTAAAATACAATCAAGACAACTTGGCCTTTCAGAAAAAATGCTTTTATCGGATAAAGTTTACTAGTGAAAACTTTAAATAAAATTGTACACAATATAATTTTATTTAATATAATTAATTCTATCGACAGCCAGTCAAAAACCAAAGACTATTATTATTATGTTATTATGTTTATATTTCTCATTCAGTCAAGTCAATTATTTTTGTTTCGGTGAGTTTAATGATAACTAAATAAATCGCATACACAAAAACCTTCCAGAGTAGAAAACTCGCATATAAACACTGACAACGGTGTATAATATTCGGAGTCACTGTCTTCAAAACGCTGTAATTATGGGACAATGTAACAATAATACTGATTTTCATTTGGTGCTTTATATTGCAGTTGTTTCCTTATCCGCTATACCGGTAAGTATTCAGGAATGCAGTTTTAATATTTTCGTAGACATTTCATGTAAATTTTTGCGTCGTTTCTATATATATATAAATTAATATTTATCTGTATGTCTCTTATATGTCTTCCTAAACCGTTTATCCGATCGCCATGAAACTTTGGAAAGCTGTTGAGTATACTCCCGTGCAGATTTCTAATGTGGTACATCTATTACATTCTTCGATAGCTACACTATCACCCACAAAAACCGGGTGGGGGTACTTTCGTTACGAAGATGAAATAATTTTTTTTTTTATTTATCGATTATTACCTTGTCAATATATAGATGCAAAAACAAATATTTTCAGTTAAACAGGTTGTCATGGGCAAATTCTTATTATGCCATGTCTAAGGTGTGTATTCTTTGAGTGTGTATATAGGTAACTGCGTATTTTTTATCGTGATTCTAGAGAAAATGTTTAATTTCAATTGCCGATATTGCATACACTTCAGTTCATGGGTGTTATAAGACATACGTAAAACATACGATGTTAAACGATATGCATAAGACAAAAATCGTATGCACATAATTAGTCAATACTGAAACTAATCGATAAAACCATTAAAGTAATTGTTTTAAATTTATTTTACGCTAAACAACACAATTACCCGAATACACACATACCTAGGTTTATACAAAGAAAAATCCCACGTACCACGATTCGGAATGACAACCTTCAGACCCATCGTGTTTAAAATCAAACTTTGACATATTATGTTATGTGTCAGTATGTCATATTATATTAAACAATGTCGTGTTTTCGGACATTCAATACGGTTTTTATCCGCCGTGTTTCACCGTAATGTATATCATATATGGCACTTCGGTGACAATTGATTTTCTTTGAAAACGGGTTAAAGATATGCAAAAAATGCATGAATATAAAATATCGAAATAAGTACATCGACCAGGGACTGTAACTGGACCGAAAATAACCGATTATAGAACCGGAAATTTTGTGTTAATTATGAAACGAAACTATTTTTTCAAATTTTTAAAAAACCAAACCTAAACCCGAACTTAATTTTTATAGTTGAATTGTTTAAATATTTGTTGGTTTTTTAAATTTATAGGTTTAATTTATAAGTTTACAGTTTCAATGTAGCAATGAGATTTTAGGTAACTTTGATATTTGTTGCAGGATTCACAGAGTTTACTACAGAGTTTAAAGTATCATCATACGTTGAATCATTAGAGATCATTTTTGACACTGTGTCTGCACGATAACAGCAACAACCCATCTTGTCAATAACATTATACTACCGGAAAACGACGGACACAATTTCCCAAACAGAAATATAATTTTGTTTTTTTTTTTAAACAATCGACATGTTTATTATAAACTTATAAATAATTTACTACGAGCTAATTCAACGGATCGTATTCAAAACCGGTAAAAAAATAATCGATAAACACACTTTTTTGCTCAGCTGTATTTACATTCCGTCAATACGACATGACATGACACATAGTTTTGTATGTATATTTTTATCGACAGTCTGCAAAAAATCAAAGACGGTTAGAATATTATGATACTATTATACATGTATTGCAATTCCCAATAACACTCACCCAACTCAAACGATAATAAAATACGTGTTAAACGCAGTCGAAACATTTCTTTTTTTTTTCAGTCAATTTTAGTGAAAAACTGTATAATAATATACTAAAAGTTAATAAAAAAAAACCTGTATATATCCCACACAAAAACCCTCCAGATTAGTAGAAAAATCGCATTTGAACTAACGACGCTATTATTATAGGAGTCGTCGTCGAAACGCTATAAACATGGCTAAATTTCGTTTGGCGCTTTACATTGTAATTATTTTCTCGTCCACCGTACCGGTAAGTTTTCCGATAATTTTTAATATCTTCGTAGACGAGAAATATCGCAAACGGCGAACTAGACAAATATATTATAATGTCCGGTTTGCCGTTAATATGTATAATATATAAATTATAATATTCTTTCGTTTCATCTAAATTCTTGTGCAGTATTCTCTATAAATATAAAATTAAAGCCCCCATCACTGAAACACAACAGTTATTTCAACCAAATAGTTTTGCTTGCAGACTGCATGTATAACAATCGTGTCGTGCTTCAGTTCACCATCCGTTATGTATTTTTCATAATAAAATAATAAAATAAAAACAAAATTTAATAAAATGGTTAAAAAATAAAATAAATAAATATATAAATAATAAAAATATACATGCAAAAATTAAAATTAATTAACTAATCAATGCGTCACCTGGAGTATTGTGATAAGTGTGTTATACGACCGGTTTCGAATTAAAAATTCATCATCAGATTTATCACAGTCAAAATGTAAAACATGACTAAATATAAAAAATTAAATGAAAGAATACATAGAAAAAAAAAATTATACAATCGGTCGTTTTACATAAAATATAGAAATAATTTATTTTAATAGGAGATATTATTATTAGACATAGATATGTTATTAAGTTATATCTTGTTTGATTTTGATTTTAAAATTGCATAAAATTTATAACAGATTCACATTGTATTAATTGTTTTTTAATTGATTGAAAGTTTAATGTTTGATTTACATGTATTAAATTCATTTCCTTTATTTAATTAATTATTTTCAGCTTTATTGAAAATTATGGAAGTTAAATTAGTAACTCATGGTTGAAAAGAATGCTAGTTTTTAAGTTGTAATTTCTGTGTATTCTGTGCTACTAAAATATTAATTTTATCATTTACTCTTTACCATTTCTCATTTTTCTTATGTAGTAATTTTTGTTGGCTGTGATTTTTAAATTATGAAATCTGTAAGTGATTTAAATTTTAGGGTACAATTTTTCTAAATTATTAATCTCTCCTACTATTACGTGTTTTTTGCTGAATAAAAATTTAGTTTCAGAGTTCAACCATATTGTCTTTACTCTTTTCTTGGCTTTGATTGCAGCTTCAGATGTACATTTGATACGTAAATTGATTTTTTTTTAAACGACTTTCAATAAATAATAACCAAATATAATTTATATTTCTTAACATATCTATGTCTAATAATAATTAATTCTATATATCTCCTATTAAAATAAACCATTTCTATACTTTATGTAAAACGACCGATTGTATAACTTTTTTTTCTATGTATTCCTTCATTTAGTTTGTTATATATTTAGTCGTGTTTTACATTTTGACTGTGATAAACCTAATGATGAATTTTTAATTCGAAACCGGTTGTATAACACACTTATCATAATACTCCCGGCGACGCATTGATTCATTTATTTATTTTATTTTTATATTTATTTACTTTATTTATTTTTCAGTAAGGTTAGTTAAACAATGCTAAATAAATATGTCAATTATATTGACATACTTATGTTGACACGTTTTTAAATTTCTACAGTTCGGTTTACATTGCGAGAATTCAAACAAATCAGCAATCAAACTTTATGTGCCATAAACAAAATAATTATCTTATCAATTTTCGAAAAAATGCATGTACAAAATTAATATACACTAAAACTAATTCAGTAAATAACATAAAAGTAAAATTTGTAAACTTTGTTTTACGTTCTATGCGTCATATTACGCCGCATGAATAAACACGTCGGTTCTACATCGAAAATTCCGAAGCACTGCGATTCGAAATGACAACCGTCAGATCCGCCGTGTTTAACATCAAGCTTTGACGTGACTATATTAAAACTGTTGTGTTTTCGACCTACACGACATCATTACACCGTTTTTACACGATCTGTATTTTCATACTGGGACTTCGGTGATAATACTTTGATTTTCTTCAAAACGTGTAAAATATATAACAATATTATGTCAAAATATGCACTCAAACCAATAAAAATATGCAATTCGTAAACTTGCGAACTAATGATACGAATTTATATTTATAGGTTTTACTGTAAAAAAAAACTTTTCATAGACAAACAAAAATAATATTATGGTGATTGACGAATAGCGAATAGTTACTATTCATCCTGATTTGAATGCTGATTTGAACACTACCGGTTTGAAGCACGCTGTCCCGATATTTGTCAAGTTCCGGTCGGGACAGTAAATAATATCGGTTTCCTAAAATAGATCCTGTGTTTTCAAAAATTTAAATTTTGACAAAAACCCATACAATTTATTTTGAATATTTGCATTGTATTTCAAAAATAATTTTAGCTGTATGATCTTTTGTTATATTTATAAACTTTTCAAGTTTATTCATTTCATCTCTAATCGTCATATCTAATCTAATTGTATATCCGAACATTACATTCCGGAACATTTTCCAGACTGCAATATTTCTAAACGTAATATTCCGGGAAAATATCAATGGTTTCTAAAATATTTTCATGAGTATTTACCAATACGAATAATTACATTATGGAAAATTATGGCCGCCCAAATAAAATGACACAGAATAGCGTATTCCGTGTAGACTGTGGGATAATTTTAATAACAAATTCCATAAGTAAAAATATTAACGTGATTTCTTTTTCTTCGTCGAAGGCACAATACCTTTGGACGTACGAAGAATATGCCAAAATGTGCGCTCCGACTATTGAATGCAATGTCACAAACAAGTATCGAACCATTGACGGATCGTGCAATAATTTAAGAATCCCGTGGCTAGGTGCCACCAACACGCCGCATTTACGGATACTGGACGCTTATTACGATGGTAAGTTTTACAAGTGTGTAAGAACTAAAAACATATTATAAAAAATTGTACGGATTATAATTTACGGTATTTCGCAATTTGGCCACCTTAAAACTAAAATATATATTTTAAAAAGCTGGCGATTTTAACGTATGGAAAAACTTTAATTTTCGGAACTTATTATTTTTTATTTTTTTATTATTAAATATCGGTTCGATTTCGATCTCGATTTTCAATAGAAACAATGTACCTTTACTGAACAGTCCTGATACGGGACTTAAAATAACGCAGTGACTTAAAGTATTATTTATTTTTTTTAACACTTTTTGTACTCGTTATTCGTCGTCGTATTTCCATAATTAAAATCGAGAAAAATTCTTTTTTTTTTTTAAATAACAATTTTAAAAACAACTTTACACGATTACACGTATGTAATATAGCATGTGCGTTGTAAATACCTGTCGTTTCCCAGGAGATTACCAGTTCCGGAAGCAAGCGGACGGCAGCCCTTTGCCGAACGCCCGAGAGATTCAAATCAAATTGTTCCTAGACAAACAGTCTCGGTTCCTCGAAAACGACAACAACGTTCTATTCATGCAATGGGGTCAATTTATCGCTCACGATGTAACGCTACTTGCACCCTTCACTTCAAGTAACAAACCAGCTATTTTTGCAATAGCTTCACACACACAAATCAATATTTTTAGTTATCTTTACTTTGTGTATTATGCGGTGGTTTGATGGGTTGAGGGGAGTTGTCCTCTCTTCTTTTCTAAAAACATGTCACCATACCTATTTTCTTTTGTCTTTTGACAAGAAATAAATTTGACAATAATTTCATAATAAAATACCTACCGAAATATATAAATTTATTAGTTTTGCCGAATTTTAAATTAAACTATTATTAAATTTCCGACTCGGTAATCTAAATTTCTGAATTTCCACTATTTCCAGCCCTGAATAAATCTTAAGGTAGATAACCGCATTACTGTTAGCACTTTTTATGTCCTTTTTCCCCAATTCAAACTATAATTGTATTGAAATCTTGTAATAATACGCGTTGGGAGTATCGTTTTCAGCTGATGAAGGTTGTTGCGATCAACAAAACCAAAACCCGGTACCAATCGAATGTCAGGCAGTCATTCCGGTACCTGAAAACGATCCCGTTTATTCCAAACAGGGTCAAACGTGCATCAATTTCAACAGAGCTGCGACTTCGGCTGCCCAAGGCTGTCCATTAAAACCTACTACTTACGTGAGTCTAAAATATTGGCGTCTATGAACTTGACCCACCCATGTCATGATACAAATTTCAAAACTATACCAATATTTTCAAGTAATTTACAAGTCATTTCTTTCACGGGAAATAAATAAAACGATGTGGGTGAATCAAATACATGTAGTTTATCCACATGACACTAAAACTTCTAAAATAGCACCAAAATATTCACTACAACGGGTTTTCGAATTTCTGAACTTTTATGTTGGTTAGAATTAAAACCACATATGGCGACTTCACAGACTATTTAATTCAGAATTAAGATTGTACAAAGTTTAAATTTTTATAGTTCTTTTTTTTGTAGTGTTCTACGTAATATTAATCATATCGTTTGAATTTCTTAATACGGCAAACAATATTATTTATTTTGATTTATATCCTGTTATAAAATAAATAGTTCAACCCCTCCCCCCTACTAAAAGGAATACACTTCATAATAAAACCAATACATTCCTCATTACGCTCAGAATCTAACATATAAATATTTTAATTTATAGCCCGTTGTCACAATACAAACAAAATTTATAGAAGACCCGACATCGTTTTTTTTTTTTTTTTAGATACTCAGTACAACACATTTTATTGACGGGTCACTAATCTACGGTATGGACGATAAAACAGCCGCGAACTTGCGGTCGTTTGAGGCCGGTCGATTGAGATCGGAATTCAACAGCGACCACATGGAATTTTGTCCGCAGTTAAACCGTGGAGACTCGTTGAAATGCAGCACGTCGAAAAACTCGAGCGTCTGTTATTTTACGGGTAAGACAATACTACCGCACACAGGAGAGCGAACCTGCGTTTGGTTTTTATTCCGAAAATATTGATATCGATATTATAGAAACCGTTACATTATCTAACATTTCCATCTATAGCCAAACAATATGAAAATATTATTATGTTCGTGGCGCGTGTTTTTGTTCCATAGGAGACCCAAGAGGTAATCAAAACCTGGTGACCGTACTTTTCCAAAATGCGTTTTTGAGATTTCACAACGTTGTCGCGTCACACCTGAGCCGTCTCAATCAGCACTGGTGTGACGAGACCTTGTATCAAGAAGCCCGAAGGTTCGTCATCGCCGTCATCCAGTACATAACGTACACGCAATACTTGCCGATTTTGCTGGGTAAAAAAAAACCAAAATATACGCACCTTTATTAATATAACAATTAATTTTGTATAACATGCCACAGGCACGGAATTTAACGTTATAAATAACCAGCCAATTTACAACGATCGGGTGGATCCGTCTACATCCCTAGAGTTTGCTTCCGGTGCATTTCGAACGCTTCACCAGGAAATTCCATCGACTCTAAAGTAAGAAAATATAAATTATATTTTGAATCGGTTTTATTCGAAATATGCATGTATTTTAAAATACCAAATGTATAATTAAATTATTTTTAACCAAATTACATGTACAATAAAACAACAAAAGCGATAGTATGAAATATAATCATTATTGCTGTACATTTTCCCGGTTTTAAGAATATTACATACAAAATCAAAAAATAACTTTTTCATGCATTAGATATACAAAATTTTCTTTCAGAAGTTACCCTTGAATTTTGAAATAAGATTTCTGATATATAAATAAATTCGAAATACTACGAAAAAGCTCTTGTATCATTTTCTGATTGGACTAGGATGTCTGGTAGAAAAGTTCTTCAACATCATAGTAAAACTAATACATCAGGTATACCACAAGGTGCACAATTATCACCACTTTTCTTCAACATTTTTATAAAAGCTATATCAAAAATATTGTTGCCATGTAGAATACTCTTATTTCTTATTCGCGGATGATGCAATAATTTTCCATAAATTAATTACTCAAGATGATTTACGGTATATTACAAAATGTCATATTCAAGTTAGTTGATTGGTATGAAACGGTTTGACTCTCCTTGAACTTAAAATAATGTAGTCATATCATTTTATAGATATGATCTCATTTAACAAGATCATTTTTGATTATTTAATTCATAATGAATGCATGCCTCATGTAGACCAGGTGGAAGACTTAGGATTTCAATTAGTATCATATTTATCTTTTAATAATCATATTGAATTAATTATTACTTCTTCAGCTTTACGTACCCTAGGTTTTATTCATCGTAATACATCAGATTTCGACCAAGTCAATTACCTCGAAATGTTATACACTTCATTAGTACCTATCTTAAAATATGAATCTATTTAGATTATAAATCCCTTATTAAATAATAAGGTAGTCAAAAAAACTAGTAGAAAATTGAAAGGATTGAAAAACATGTTCTTTCTTACTCAAGTTATGGTCTAAAAATTACTCACCTTTCACTCGACTACACACCAGTCTCCGAATTTGTATTTATTTATTTTATTAAAAATTTGGACATATGCCCAAATTTATACTAATACAATGAACGAAAATTTGGTTCAATATTCAATAACTCAAATAAACCAGGTAATACATTCTTAGCAAAAGTTGGTTCAAAAGACTAGGTATTATAGTAGACTCTAGCTTATAGTAGATCCAACAGATATCAAACCAAAGAACTACCGGATTAACGAAAACGCCGGATTAATGTAAGTCCGCATAAAAACACGTTTTCACTTATTGAAAAACTTTAATTTATTTTATTAAAACGTATAGACAATACATACATACTGAATTAAGCTAATATAACACAATAACTAACCAATACACAACATACACGTTCCACGCGCTGACGTTAGCTGAATACAAATAAAATATCTAATCGGTTCATTTGGACTTCGTTTACGATAATAATTATATAGTTATTATAACGAAAAAATAGCCAGATTACTTAACGCACCAGATTATCGCACGGTTGGATAACCAACAGTCTACTAAACATACAATTGGAAGCCAATTCGGAAACCAAATTGGATGTTAGAAATTATTTTTTTGTCATTAATAATTGATGATATACGTTTAAGAATTAATTTTTCAGTTAATTTGACAAATAAGGGCAAAAGCCTAATTGGACAATAGAACGATACTATATCCGGAGGTTTACCTAGCTTAGGAATTAAAATTATTACCGATATTTTCCATTATAGTGGAAAGAAGGAGAGTCTTAGTATAGAGTTTAATATGTGGTGGATCAACGCTTTCCTCGAGAGTTCGCGAGCTACTTCAGCGGTGATTAAATCGAGTTTTTTTTAAGAGGAATTAATGTTATAAAATGTTAAATTTCACCTAGGGAAAAAGGTTAAAGTACAAGGGACAGTGGTAAGGGAGAAATTAGAGAGTTCTCTATACTTACCGCGAATGTGTAATTTCCTACGTCGGGGTGGGTTGAAAGTTGAAAGACTTTCGAGAGATGAAAACGAAGTATTTCTGCTTTTTCTTTATCATATTTACACCAAATAAACAAAATAAAATAAATATATTAATTCCTACGCTTAGAAATTAGAATCTAAAATAATATATTACTCTAGCTTTTTGTCACAAAATATACGAGGGTAATAATAATAATAATAATAATAATAATAATTATCATACGAGTATAATATTATTTTATATATTTCTGATAATATTTTTTATATTATTAATATATTTAATATGTTTTATACTTTTTGCTGTTTTGATCGCAGTTTGAAGGACGATCGCCAAGTATTGCTCACTGACTGGATGAACAAACCGGAACTTCTGCCGATATCTGACAATTTTGACGGTTTTTTGTACGGATTCGTGAACCAAAATACTCGTGCCGAACAGCCATCTTTTAATCCTCATGTAAATACAATAAGCATAATAATTAGGGCCCGGATATCAATGCAACATTCATCTTTTTTTGATTGATATTAGATAATGTTTTCCAAGTAGGTAAATAATTTGATTTACGTAACAGAGACTTCAAAGGTGAAAATTTTATTTTACATTTTTTGTATTTTTAAATTTTTTTTCGTTTTATTGCATATTTGTACGATACACGAGTAGAATATAATATTTAGTATTATTTTTGTACATAATACGACCGTCAGTTAAATATATATTTAGTATATATACATATACTTGGTAAATATTTTAATCTATTATATGACTTGATAATCAAGTCAGTCAATACTATCAATGCCAGTCACAAGTACAATTTTTCAGTTTTCTGTTTTTTACCCAATTAAACAATACATTTAAAAAATGTATACATCATTTTTTAAAAGCATTTTTAGCTTCTTTTTTTTAGAGCATTTTTCGAAGATTTTTAGTGAATTTAAATCCGGTTTCTAATAATAATATTATTATTCCACACGGTTCCACATAACTATAAGTTCTATATCCAAGACAAATATTCCAGTTTTTAAAACATTTCTGTTTTTGGTCCGGTATTCTACATAGTAGATTAGGTCTATCTATATTGTGAATATCGCGATATCTTAACACTCGTACTTACCGTGTTAAAATATCCCTATACCAAACAAAAAAATAATAGATATCCAGTTTTTTTTTTAAATATATAAATATATAGATTTCCAGCTACTTGTTCCAACAACTTACGCCCACATTAAAAGGTCAAGATTTGCTGACCGCCGACATACAGAGAGGTCGTGACACAGGCGTGCCACCGTACAACAAAATGAGATTAGTTTGCGGGATTCCGGAAGCGGAATCGTTCGACGATCTGGGCGATTTAATCGCCGATGAGGTAAAAATGCGTGTCCGACGATTAATATTTAAAATTATGAAATATAGGTAGGCATTGAAATAATTACGATCATTTAAAAAGTAAAAAGAAAAAGGTTATACTACTAATGGATTCGCCACTGTTGAAGGCGGTAATTTGGGAAAGTAGGATATTATAAAGTTTTGTAATATAAAAATATAAATATTTTTTTTGTTAAAATGTACGTTATTGGTATTTATTAGTATATACATTGATATTTTAAGAGTAGATAGTTAGGTAGAAATTACATTGTAGGTATATTTTGTACAATGTACCTATTTTTTATACTCTTATTTTAAACCTCTTTTTTCATTTTAAGGAAACATACATGTTGGCAATGGTATCCATACTATTTTGAGTAGCTAACCAGTAAAAGATAAAAGTTATGTACACTAGGTAGTAAAGACTGACTTCTTTTTATCTAAAATAAAGTCTAAACTTACGGTAATTTTATCAGCATCTGATAATCAACATTCAACAGTTCACAAATAAGCTTATATCGTTTACATGTATACTATCAGTCTTAAAAAGCTGCCCTAGGATAATGGAGATGGGTGCAGCAACTGTTGTAGGTGGGAAGTTGGAAAGGTAGAATACAGATGGATGTTTAATACATATATGTAAGCAAAAATAAGCCATTACTTTCGAAAATACGATTCTGAACAGAATTCATTTGATAGTGATGCTTTGTCAACAATTATTTTTTGATTTTCTCAGGAGTTTTTTCATCAAACGGGAAAAACCGAAAAAAAATGAGGAAAAACGGAAAAATGTACGAAATATTATATTAGTAAAATATTACGATTTTTTTTTTCGGTGGATAACTATTCTACCAGCAATTTTACTCCGATTAATAATAACATTTTTTTCGAGAGGAAGTCTGACTGGGAAGGTACTTAAGGTATTTAATTTTTCGATTTTCCCAAAAGTTTTCTCAGCAAATGTGAAAAACCGAGAAAAACATGAAAAAAACGTAAGAAGAAGTGGGTACAGGTAGACATTAAACTACCTATAACAGCGACTGCTCCCGTCTCCGTTATCCTGAAACGGTTTTTTATAGTATGCGCTTATATTACATGTTTTTAAGAGAAAATGATTGCGCTTATAACAACCTTTTATAGAGCTGCAAGTTATGAGCCCTGGTTTGGTAAAACAATTATATCTATATATTATTATTTACCAAATGAAAATTACGCAGCAAACATAAAATGCATATAAATAAATCATAAATTGCCAAAATTTTAAATTATATACACAAATATTAGTTTGTAAATTGGAATATTTATAGAAAACGTTTTAATGGTACTTACAAATACTTGTGGTAATGAATTATAACAATATAGAACGATTTCTACATTTATTTGAAAGTAAATTTTGAATCTCTAAATTTGTATTTTTTTAAACATTGCCGTTGTTGAAGTTGTTTATAAGCAATGCCTTAAATACTACCGAGTGTGCAACGGCTGCTGATTGGAAGAGAATGACTATAACACTGTAAATCATTTAAAATACACAAAAAGTTTATATTTCTATAAAAGAATCAATGGTTAAAAATCCTCTGTGGTAATATTATAGTATTAGTAAGGTACTTACTACTTACGTACTGTTTCATGTTATTTGTGGTCGACAGGACGTGGAAAAACTCAAAGAACTGTACTCATGCGTGGACGACATTGACTTCATAGTGGGCGCTTTGCTGGAAAAACAGATAGAAGGCGCTAAGGTCGGACCGACTGCCAAGTGCATAATATCCAACAGTTTTTACCGATACAAGGCAGGAGATCGTTTCTTTTACGATGTCCTCGGACAACCCGGGAGTTTTACGCCCGGTATGTATTGTATCGTCAACTGTATACAGTGAAAAATAAACATTTGAAAACCAAGAAAAATGTTGTCAATTCTCATATAAACGTATGATATACGAGGAATACGGTTATATTTCAAGACATTGCGGCTATTTCTCAGTATTTTTATATTCAAAATTCGAATTGTATAACAATGAACTCAATTTTAAACTTGTCTTGTTTTTTCTGGTATTTCAGACTTTTTACATATAGCGTTTCAACTATTTTTATTTCAACTATTTCTTTTTTAATATTCATCTACTCAAAACAATAACAATATTATGTTAGTTTATTAAACTTTCAACAAATTCCATTTTAGTTTCACCGTATAAGTATTTTTTTTATTTTTTATTCACGTGTTTTTATAGTTTGGACACAAAAATTAAAAATCGTTTTTGAAATAAATTGTACTTTTTTGTCATTTTTCAGACCAAATACAAACGCTAAAAAGCATTACTTTTGGTAACGTGATATGCGCCACTTCCGGTCTACAGAGTTTGCCAGAAGACATATTTATAGCACCGAATAGGCAAGTACAATGCAGCTGTAGTAACGTTACCATAAACTTTTAAATTTAGTGGCAGATACAAGGGGAGTAACAAGGTGATCTCTCCCCCCTCCCCCCGGTTTGTCTATTTCTACGTAATTCTTATATTCTATAATAGTTTACATAAGGTTGCAGTATAATAATAATAAGCAGGGCTCGGATTTTATAGCACTAAAAATAACTAAAATATGTGCTATAATATGCTATAATATACCATAAAAACATTAAAAAAAAAGCAAAAAAAAAGAAAGGTAAGACAACGATAAATAGTGCAGCCACTGGTGTAGGTGAGAAGTTGAGAAGGTAGAATACAGACTGGAATTTAATGTTTATCTGTAAGCAACAATAAACCATTGCTAACGAAAAAACGATTCTGAGCAGAGTTAAATTGATATTGATGCTTTGTCAACAATATGTACGCTATATTATAATAAAATAATTAAATGGCCTCTACCTATATATTTTCTTTAATAATATTTGTTTAATGTTGACCCGGTTTTCTATAACTCCACTGTACTTATCAAAAATTCTACGTCAAATGATGATATCGTCCACGTTGGTTGTCATAGTTTATCAAATGACATGGAAAAATGCACAATGTGACATCGATAATAATAATAAATAATGAGTTTGGATTTATGTTGTGTTCTACGGTGAAATATTTCCGCATGGACGACTTAACCATTTGCATTTCAACATGCAGCGCGATTTTTTTTCAGCGCGAAATTCCGCGATTGGGTGTCTAGGTTTATTTAAAATAACGTTTCTCGATATTGCGGAGTTCTGCAAGTTTGATGTTGGCCTTATGAATTCGTTTAAATTACCATGTTTTGTACTATTTTTCATTCAATACATACTAGATTTATGAAAAATACAAAATCATTATATTATTAAAATGTAACACCAAAACATTTCATTAAAAATTTTTAATATTTCAAATATGCATAAACTAGCAACATAAAAAATCATATTTGGAATCCCTGGTGCATAAAACAAAGGTTTAGCTCACTCTCCTATTTTTATCTGTATCCCTAAATGATTGATAAATGTAAATGCTATAAAATCGGAGATCTGATAATAAGATAGACACATTTGCAGGCAAAAGAATTTTACATGTTACAAGTTTGTCATAAACTCATAAACATAATGTATTACTGTTAATGTTATATGATTGTAATATGCAAAAAATTAGGCTAGACAAGTAAATTAATTTGTTTAATAAAATTTACCACTCCTTTGAACAACCCTTAAATCAGCCACTAAATAAGTACTAGACGAATATTATAAAACATGTTTAAAATATTTGTTGGTTTTCAGGTTCACGGAACAATATAGTTGTGAACATTTCCCACTAGATTTAAAAGCATGGAAAGAAAATTGAACTAATAACCAAATAATGTAGTAATGTCTGTGGTCAGGACCGCCTAATATTAATTATTGTTTAATTTCTATCAATATTTATATAACAGATTAAAGTGTGATTGTATTTAGAGTATAAAGACTTTGAAATGTGAATTTTTTTTTTTTTTTTTAAACCAATATAATATAAAAAAAATCAAATAAAATATTTCTGTATTAATATATAAATTAAGTGGAATTTTGGCTTAACCTCTTCCAAATACATTCATAAATATTCCCCCAAAAATATGAAAATCGTTCACTCGCACTGTCTCAACCAAAAATAATTCTTATATAGTCTCATCATGAATTGCTTTGACGTTGGTTCACTCAAACCTTGTATAGAGTTTAAAAAGTAAACACTGAATAGTGATAGCGAATACAAAATAATATTAATTTTTATAATTATTCAATTATTGTATCAAATATAAATTAGATACACACCTCTATGTCCTCTAAAAATCTCAGAGGCCTTTCAAATAAGTGTTCATCATTCCACTGTACCAGATACACCTATGGGTATTAAAAAATAAAATACGTATAAATACAATGAATGTATATCATCAAAATATCAACATAAATACATTAAGATTGACCAGTACATAAAGATTGATAATACACAATTATTTATTTATTTATCATTATTAAGTAACTTTCCACAATTGTTAATAACATTAAACATTTATTTTATTTTAAATTGTTAAAAAAAAAAATGATAGGTATATTAATCAGACTCGTATAGTTTTGTTTACATTGAAAGTACTTATTTTATTACATAACTTTTTTTTTTTTTTTTTTTTTGTAATTTTTTGTAATTTTTTGGACATCAAAAATAACGCAATAAAAACAATAAATCGATGTTAAAAAAAAATACAACAATTTTATTACTCTTTTTCATTATGAACTTAACTTTAGTCAAATGTATTGATAAAATTATAATAATGCCATAAATAATCTACTATTCGTATAGTGGTGAACACGTTTCAACAGTGGTTGAATACCTGAAATTAAAAAATAATTTAAATTTAGCCAAACGTTATAATTTTATTTTATTACAATTGGCCTTTGGATCATTTAAATATTAATCCAGGGGGTTAAAAAAAAACAAAACAAAATATTGACATTTATGTGAAAACTTCAGTGAAAACCCGATTAACAGAGAAAAGAAAATTTGTGTTAATATATTAAATTGTTATTTTGCATAACTACATTCATAAATGTTTCCATATAAAAAAAATAAATATTACACTGTCATAAACAGATATTATTTTTGTGCATCAAAATATCAGAAAATATAATAAATTTGCTAATATAAGTAATTTATCATAGATGTTAAAACTTAAGGTAATGTTTAAATGTTAGAATTAGTTTCAGATTCATATATTATTTTGATTTTTAGATTTTTCAGATTATTAATATTTAATGGACAAATTAAAAGATGAAAAAATAAATAATATATAATTGAATTGAACTGAGCAAAAATGTTGGTTCCTAAACTTTATTTGGTAAAAAAACAACAATAGTTGTAATAAACAGTTATTATAATTTTTAATATATATTATACTACAATAGAAATAGATATTTTACCTTCTTTAACTTTGTTGTCTAGCATCCCAACAATTAAGCTGAACCGATTCACTTTGGTCATGGCTGTTAAGTACTCTACAATAAGATCTAATTCGGTATCAGGATTAAACTTCTGATTCAGGGTTTCCAAAAATTTTGACATGATTTCTTCATCCAAATTTGTACTAATAACTAAATTAAAGTTTACATAAAATAGCTACAAATTTATTAAAAGATAGACAACTGTTGGTCTAAATTTCAATTTCTTTTTAATTTAATAAATATATTAGTGAAATGTTATTTTTGGATAAAATAAATACTGTTTATTATGCTTGTTGTTGGAATAGATTTGAAAGGATGGTAGGATAATATATTTTTAAAGAAAAATAATAGTTAGATTAGATAAAAAAAAATAACCATATTAACACCATCATAGTTTACATGATGTACACAACATAGCTTTACATTTTTCTTTTTTTTTTTAATTTGTTCAATGACATTTTTCATTTTAAAAATATTTATCCTAACGGAATTTAATTTTTCTATTAACACATACAAATCATAAATTATAATTCATAATTATCTAATTACTTACCCTTAGGTAAATCTTTTGGTTTAATACTCCGCAAAAGTTGTTGATAAAGTTCATAATTGTTTTTTTGACTAGCTGTTTTCCAGCATTGTAAAAACTCATAAACATTAGATACGGGTTTGATACCTAACATCATGTCATCATTGTCACACTCTTTACATGGAGATTTATCAATTCCATTGAATCCATTATGAAGTTTCACCTGAAATCAACATTAAAAATAACTTTAAAAGAGAAATAAAATTATAAATACTAATGTTATTTATATATATATATATATATGTATGTAGGAAATGTAATGATAAGTAAAACCAGTATCTTTTATTTTGATATTAATAAAAGTAACAAAATCAATTATTTTCATTTTTAGAAAGCTTAGAATTTAATTTGTCTATGCTTGTAAATGATATAGATGGAGAATTTGTACACAAGATCATATTAACGTAATAATATATAAAAGGATAAACTGAGGCATCAGTGTAGTCTAAACTGCTAGGTCTAGAAACTTGAAATTTTGCACAGAGGTTCTTTATACAAAATAGACGAGCACCAAAAAGGGATTTTTTAAAATTGCAAACTCCCAATGCATTTTTAAAATTTATTCCCTACAAAATGAATAGAATGGAAGTTTAAAAAAAAGTTCAATTTTTTTTTTCAGTTAAATGTACAAATAACTTAGCGAGTGTATACTTATACCAGGTGTACCAGTATGAAATGATCGTTTTGAAATGAAACAGTAAATTTGAATAGGAAAGTAAAAAAAAATTATTCGAAGTATTGACCAATGCTTTCTACACATTTTGACCACCTTTCTAGCAATTTGTGGATACTATGCCAATAGAAACGTTCGTCTTTTGAAGCAAAACAATCAGACACCCAATTTTCAACTTCTGCGTAGAAATCGAAGTGCTGCTAAGCCAATACGTGTCCCATCAATGAAAACAAATGGTAGTCGGAAGGGGCCAATTCCAGTGAATACGGCGGGTGGGTAGCAGCTCCCAGCCAAGTGCTTTAATTGTTTCCTGAACTGGTTTTGCTTTGTGTGGAGGTGAATTTTCGCGTAACAAAATTACTTTGCCGTGTCTTCTGGACCATTCTGGTCGTTTTTCGATCAATGCATGGTTCAAATTGATCATTTGTTGTCTGTAGCGATTAGAATTAACAGTTTCACCAGGTTTTAGATACACCGCACTTTTCTGATCCCACTAAACACAGAGCATTGCCTTCTTGCCGAATCAATCTGGTTTTGCAGTTGATGTTGATGATGATGATTGTCCAGGATTAACCCATGATTTTCTCCGTTTAGGATTTTTAAAATAAATCTATTTTTCATCGCCAGTGACAATTCGATGCAAAACTGATTTTCTTCCATGTCTTTGAAGCAAAATTTCACAAGTGTTTTTTTGGTTTTCCATTTGTCTTCCATTCAATTCATGTAGCACTCATTTTCCACACTTTTGGATCTTTCCCATAGCCTTCAAATGGTCAGAAATTGTTTGATGTGCAACATTTAACATTTCTGCCATTTGCTTTTGACTCAAAGTATCATCTTCATCCAATATTGCTTGCAGTTTGGCGTCTTCAAACTTTTTTGATGGTCTTCCACGTTCTTCATTTCTCATATCAAAATCATTATCTCTGAACAGTTGAAACCATCTTTTGCATTTTACTTCTGATAGAGCATGATCACCATATGTCTCGACAAGCATTTGATGCAACTTTGCAGCACTTTCCTTCAAATGGAAACAAAAAATTAATGCTTTCCGCACATCTTTCCGGTACAAAATTTGACATTTTCAACACAATGAAAAAATATGATGTTGTTTGTTCAATGACTGGAAGGTTATTGAATATGTTTGACAGATGTCATGCTAACAAAACAAAAAACAAATTAAAACCCGTTCACAACAAATAATCCCTACCGACACAATTGTATCCTAACGCTCACTTTATACCGGTACACCTGGTAGAGTTCATCTGAAACTGAAAAACTACTCGACCGATTTTAACACATTTTTTTTTGTTTTTGCAAAACAATCCACATTGTCAAGGACATGATTTTAGATATTGAAATCTTTTTTCGAACCGACCAGTAGATAATAAGTTAGGGGCCTAAATGTTTAATCTTCTAATTAGTTTAGTTTTGTAGCAATAGAAAAGTATAATTGGTAAGTTATTTAATATGAAATATGAATATAATAGTTGAAATTTGCTATATTTTTTAATATACCAGTGTATTCCGGCAGTAGCATATCCAAGCCAGGCTAAAGAGAGATCATCCCTTCCCCCATTAAATATGTTAAATTAAAAAATAATGATATAAACTATCCAGCATTAAAAAATTATCTATATATCCATTATAACATATACAAAATAAAGTTTGATTTATGTTGGCTTTTTAAATTTGTACACTAATTTACAATTGTATTCCAATCACACACAATAATAACATAACTACAATTCCAAGTTAAACAACAAAATCAAACCGTTGTATTTGTATGGCCATGTCCATTCATTTTGGCAGAGTTTATTTCAATGACGTTTAATCGTTTTGGTCTTTTCAAATCTGGTAATACAGAATTAGAAACCAATATGGGCAAATTATTCGATGTTAAGAATTCCCAACGTTTTCTTTGTCCATCATTTTTAAACGTTCTGTGGCGGCTGGTCAATTTTTTCTTACGTTGTTGCCACTCATGCCAAGGACACAAATGACAAACACACTCTGTCAAACAACCAAAGGAATCTGCTTCATATAAATATTCAACCCTTTCTTTTTTCAACTCAGAAAGTTCAGGATAAGATACACGGAATGGGTCTTCTATATCCCATACAGTTTCATCATAATGTCTAGTTATTTCACGAACTCTATAAATAAAATTAGTTTAAACATAAATACATGAGATTTTTTCAATTTATTATCTGGTTTTTACCTAATTAATTTTTTGGAAGGTATGTTTGATATTAAATGCTTTAATTCTTTGACCAAAATAAGAGCTTTCGCATTGTTGCAATCATATTTTAATGTGACTTCAAATGATCGTAATGCCTATCATAAAACAATTCAAAATTACTCCTTCTCAATAATGTTACTAGTTACTATGTCATGATACTTACCAAGCAGTACATAGATATAGCTTTAAAACATGATCCTCTTCTAAAATGTGCTTTTATATTTCTTGGATCACTCTCGATTACTTCTCTCAAATCATCTAATGCTTCTTCAAATTTGTTTAGTTTTATAACTAAAATTATAAAGTAATAAGCAATAAGAAATGAAAATTTGAATTATTTGAAATACTAATCAATTAAAAGTACTTAACATAATATTATATTTTAAATATAATATAAATACTATATGGAAATCTCATTTATAATTTCAAACAGATAAAAAAAAAAATAATACAACTAAAATTGACTTCAAACATGAAGAAAAAAGTTTTTAAATTTTAAAGTATACCAATCACAAAAAAAAACAGACTTATAAAATAAAAATTTAAAAAAAATGTTTATCTAGGATATTCTGTACAAAAGAATGGTGGCTTTCGCGAGGATGTAAAGCATAGGATTAAGTGTGATTAGATAAAGTGAAGAAAATTGTCAGGTAATTTATGTGACAAGTGAAGTCCAATGACACTTAAAGTTTTACAAAAAAGTATTTGACTGACTATGTTGTATGGTTCAGAGTGTTAGACAATAGACAGAAAAATATAATAGAGAATAAATGTAGCAGAAATGAAAATACTAAAGTAGATAAGTGGACTAATGAAAGAAGATAGGATAAGAGATGAATAAATAAGAGCTTAGGTGCAGTTTCAATAGTAGACAACATAGGCTGGAATGGTTTGGGTATGTTTCAAGGAGAGGAATCTAAAACAGTAAGAATTGTAATGAAAATAAATATAGTAGCAAATGGAGAAAAAAATTGAAAAGAGGAAATTGAATATAATTGAGAATGTTATAAAGATAACTAGTACATGCGAAGTGGGAAATTGAAAATATATAATAAAGGTAGCTAATTTCAAATAATTGAGATGAAAGCAAAGGAGAAGTATAAAAAAATTATTGTTATATTTTGTTCTGATGATAACTTTTTGAAAAAACTGATTATAATAAAAACTTTATCTATAATACTACTCACAGATTTGCAGTATTATTTTAAAATTTATACAATAATATTTTTTAGATGTATTTATAATCTATTTTAAAATAATTGCAAATATTTTATTAATTTAATTTAATATTTATTACTTGCATAATATTACCTACCATAATATGGTTTATTTTTATTCAAACAGTTTTAAATGAGGTATTAGTTATTATTACAAAAAATATTCTCTGAATTTAATTTATGTATACTTCTATTATAAAATTAACAAAAAAATACGTCACTTATATTACCTATATAATCAATGTAATATTATAAGGCAGACTTTCTATTGTTAATAAATACAAGCTATCGGTCAAGGTGTCTAAAGTGTACGTGAGTACAATGTAAAGCATATAATAGCTAACTACTCTAACTAATGCATTTCATTAAGTACACACATTAAAATCGTACATGCCAGATTTCTTGATAGATCTGATGATGAAAAATGTATACTGCGGTCGAGATAGTGTGGTAATCCATTATATGATAATACAATCTTAGTTTGTATAGCTACAATAATTATCTTATTCATTTAATTATTTACTACTTAATATTTATATATTTATATTTTAATTTTAAAATTACTGTCATCAATTGACTATATTTTTTTTACAAATAAGAGAATATTATGTTTAGTTACTTTTAATTAATGCATACAAACACGAGTAATATCTTTAATAGTTCTGCATATCAACATTTAAAAATAAAATTATAATTATTAGTGTAATTATATAATATGTCAAATATGCAATTTATAGTTTGGTGACAAATTTTTTATGTAAATAATAGTGAGTAATAATAATAATAAAATCTGAAAACTGTAAGTGTAATAATGATAAATTATGCTTACACGACATGGCCCTATTGTTTTTTGCTTCAGGTGTTGGATGGATTTCAATACTAGTATTGTAATGACGGAGAGCTTCTTCATAATCATTTGACTTAAAACATTCATTTCCTAGTTCCTTTTCTCGTTTGGCCAAATCTTGAGGTCTAAAATTGGCATCTAAAAAAAGTTTAAGCGTTTATTTTTATGAAATATTTAACAAATTTAAGATAGCTGAATGATTGCCATATATATATATATATTTTAAATTATTTAAGTGTATAAATTTAAATACTATTTATGATATCAAACAATGTGTCGATATATATAAAAAATCTCAAAAAAAAAAATATATAAAAATCCAAGGAAATATTACTCATCAAACAAAGACAATGAACAAAAGGCCAACTCCAGTTAGCAATATAATTTAGTGTTATCTTATAGTATTCATTTTTATATTAAATTAATATAAAAATAAATAATTATAATGAAATAATAATTTGAGTTATCTATATAATATAAATTCTAAAAAGTTAGGTGTTATTTCATATTTATCAATTAAAACAATGTAGAAAATAATATTAACAACTCCACTTCTAAAATCATCACAACTGTAGTATCATTATAGAGATTTTAATTTGAAATGAAGAAATGGAAATTTAAATTTTAGTTTATCAAGAAATCAGCAGAATAATGAATACTTATTACTTAATTTGGTGTGTATGAAAAAGACAAACAAGACAATGTACGGACAATTAATTTAAAACAATTTACCAATATAATGTACGAAATGCTATAAAAAAAAAATTACTTTTGTTAAGAAGTTGAATTCAATTATTAGTCAATTTAAAACTAATTTTAGATTACTCAAGTCGCTTAAAGTAATTATACTACTGTATGTTGTTTAATAAAACACTACTATGAGTAATCAAAAATACAATTGTAATCAAAAAATACATGATTTGTTTTATAATTAAATTAAAATCGATTAAATATTAGTAAATACTTTTCAATTTTTTTTTAAAAATATCATTTAAACTTACTTTTATTTACTAAAGATTTAACCCTATCTTGGATGCTCAACGTATCATTCAATTCAAATGATAAATTTGAATTTAAATTTTCCTTTATATCTGCTTGTAATTTATCAGTTTTTGCTTTGTTTTCCAATTTCATCAATTCGACATCAGGATCATACTTATCCCACTTAGAATATGAAGCTTCCAAGGGTTCATTATGAAGATTATGTATTCTAGGTATAGATAAATTTCTTGTAGGCTTAAAATTATTAAAAAGAAATTTAAATTACATTAAAATAAATTATTTCCAAAATACTTTCTACTTGAAAATATTACTTTTCCTTCATCTTCCTCAGCTAATGTCAAATCAACAAAATCTCGAACTGGTTGCTTATCATGATCATTCATAGAATCTGTTAAATTTTGCTTCTCAAGTTTTGAATCTTTCTCCTGTTGTTGGGACTGTTTTATCCATTTCTAAAAAAAAAAAAAAAAAAAAAAATGTAATGTTTATTAATTATAATTTACAATTAAAATAATATATGAAGAATATGAAGACAAAATCAAAAAAAAAAATTGTTCTGTAAAATAATTTAATTTCTTAACAGTGCATAGTGATTTTTTTTTTTTTTAATTGACATATCAAGCAATTACGAACAAATTAAACACTGTCACATATCTTTTTTTTTTATTTTTACATAAATGTTAATATATACTTCATACTCGAAATACATTGTCCTTTATGCGACTATGCCTCTGTAGCTAACTTGCTTGGCCTTTTCTCCCTAGCTAAACGTAAGCACACTGCTGGAATTTAATTTATAAGTAGTCTATTGGATATTGGTACCCCAGCGGGCGACAAAAACCACAATTTCCTTCTATATCCCTCATTTCTCTACACATTTTTTAAAAAACGAGCCTATTAGGTGCCTAATGGCGTGTGCTAATATTGGCCCCACCTATGGTAACTAATTAAGTTAATTTATATTTTATTTGATAACTTAATATTATATTATATTGTCCAATTAACATGATTTATTAAATTTTGTATAAATTATATATGTATACTAAAGAACAATTGCCCATGTAATTAAAAATAAATAAACATATAGTTGATTTAATATCAAATATGGTTTAAAAAATGTACAGCCAATTATTCAATATCGGAATATTTTATATTACATTTTTTAAAAGGTACAATCATTTTTTTCCTTTGTTTTAACTGTTTAGAATCGGCTACCCTTGAAATAAATGTCCACTAGACTCGATCTCCCACCTCTCATACTTAATTGCATTCAACTACCTTTTTTTTCGGTTTTTCTCTTATCTTTATTTTCATTAGAAATCTTACTACTTTAGATTCCTCAACATACTTTTGTAGAACTTTTAACTTTAAGACTCATTAAATGACTCTTATTACATAAAACACTGTAGGCTTCTCTCCATTTTATCCAACTACCCTTAATCCTATGCTTCACATCCTCATCAAAACCACCATTATTTCAAACAAAAAATACTGTAGACCTTCTTAAAACTCAATTCCTCGAGCGTATTGATAACTTATTGTAGATTTACCTTTATCAAAGCTGTTCTCTCAAAGCCATTATCTGCATCCAGGTAGAATAATAATTATAAAATTTAAAAAGTTTTAAAGGCTCTTAAGGAATAATTTGGCTATTTAAAAAGTTGATACTTGGTTTATTAACTATTTCAATAAAATAAATTGTTTTAAAAAAATGAACAATACTGTATATCAAATTGATTATTTTACATTGTACCTGGCCATTACCTTGATGACGACCTTCTCAATTTTCCCCCCAATGGTTACTGTCTCACTTTATAGCTACTGTTAATTTATAAAGACAAAAACCTAAACTATGTTTTTCTTTACATTTAGGTAACCATTATATTAAAGTTTAATAATTTTTAGGTATATTTAAATATGTACACTAACATTTATATCACCAAACACATCATTGTAATCTTTACTATTAGAAAAATCAGAAGACTTTTTTGCGAAACATAGTTTTCTGTTTAATATTGATGCATCAGGTTTAATTTCACGCAAACGTTCTTCAGCTGCTGACAACAAAGGAGGATAATTCCCCTCTTCTCCAGATCTAAAATTAGACATACCTTTATCAGTCAAATAAACATTAAACATATATTGCCTATAAGTAGGTATAGCTACCTATAAGCACAAAATAAAATCTCATATAATATATAATATAAAATAACAAAAGAAAAACATATTCTCTGAGCTACTCTAATCAAGGTTTCAAATGACTCAAATAAAATTTTTTATTTTTTTATATTAATGAACTGTGATTTTTGTAATCATAGCAATGAAATGTAGGAACAAACATAACACACAACAATACAAGGGTTAATTATTTGATCAAATATTTTATGCTAAAATAAAAGTATACCAACTTGGTACCTATTAAGAAACACGAAGATAAATATAAATATTTTAAGATCAGTAAAAAAAACTATTTAGCTTTTAATGTAATAAAATATTATATTAATCGTATGTAACACATTCTAGGTACTTTAAGTATAACAAAATAATTATCCAACAAATAAGTAATTAAATTAAAAAATTAAATATGACAACTGGCATTTTTGTTTACATGTTATACAATGTTATGTTTTACGAGTGTTACAAGTAAAACAATTTCAAATCAAATTTGATCAATTATTTTAAGAATACTAAATAGAAAATTTAAAAATAAATATCATGGTTTTCAAAAAAAAATGGACCAAACAAACATTAACCTAACAAATGTGTAGTTAATTCGTTAATGTAAAAACTCACTCCAATATTTTAATGATGTGTTTTAATTCCTTGGGATCTTCACACTCTTTCAAATAACTGAAGTCTAAGTGATTTAAAGGGATACCATACTTTTCTGACAGCGGCTGGTTCTGATTTATTGCCATTTCTCAATTATATTTGTGGATTTTATAACTCACATTGTATCGACTGTTACTTGACAATCAATGATAAATAATGAATTGTGCCTAGAAATAATATTAACAGTAAAAATCGAAAAAAAAAAATACCAAGGTATTTGTATTACAAAAGATATACGTACGTCACGTTATTTAGATAACAATAAACAAAAAATATAATAATGTTGACTTTTTTTCATTGACTAACAAATTTGAAGAAAAACGTGAAATGAGAGAAAGACATTCAGAAAACATATGATTACAAAAATCGATTTGATAAGAAGCCAAAATATTGATAAAACAAATAACCAGCGCAATCTCGGTAACCGTAGTAGAACTGTAATGTTTGATAAAAATGTTGTACCACAACCACACGAGCGTCTAGAGACAGCTTGCCCACGAGCAAATTCCTGATCAATTATAATTGTAATATTTCTTATCAAATAACCTAACATTATACATGACAAAATGTTATCAACATAAACATACAAACCACAGAATTTTCTACAAACTTACAAAAAATAATAATAATAACAAGTATGTAAATGTACGGTAGCATAACGTAAATAACATAATTTATGTTATGATGCATCTTTATCATTAAATTCATCTAGTATTTGTTTTCTGACGGTTAATGTTGTTTTATTTAATCATTGTTCTTCTGGTATTTTTAAACGAAGTTTTCTGAAAGTTTTGAAAAGATCGCAACTGGTTTTTAACATTTATATTGTCTTTTTATTTTCATTTGATGAAACATGAACGTTAGATTCTTGTTCATATAGCATTTTTAAATTTAAGTCTAAGGATGTATTAATTTTATGTAGCTGTTCATAATTTAATTTATCTACTTGTGTCACAAACATGCTATGCAACTACTGAAGTTTGTTTGCAATGCTAACTGTAGATAAATTGCTGCATATCAGACATTTTCATACAAATTTCATCTGTATCCATTGGGTTAGTATTATCATTTTTGGCCTTAATATCATTATCATCTGAAATATTAATTTTCACTGCATGAATATGTTTACACATATTTTTTTATTATATAGTTGTAACATGTACATGAGAATAAAATATTATACACAAATTCGTTTGCAGGATATTTGATATAAAATGTTATATTATAATTGATAAGGAATTTGCTAGTAGGCTGTCTCTAGACACTCGTCACGACCACAATTAATCCACCTTGACCATAACGTGATAAGGTCTGTTATCACAAAACTGATAAAAAAAAATTTAATTAAATCAGGTTCCCCATTATTGAGACTTTAAAATCGTACTAACTCATGTAATAATTTATGGATTTAAAGAAAAATATTTACAGCGAGCCGCGATGTTTCCATTTTCATTGTTTTAAATTTGTATATGTTACAGTAAATGTTGTGAAATCGGTTAATGTTGTAAACATGTTAACAGGTTAATGTTATCTTTAAACAGTGTGATTTTTAATTTTTAAGCGGGAATGAATGATTTTAAAATTGTAATACTTTACATATTCATAACTCACTTGAAAATTAAAATATCGAAAAAAACTAACGTACACAATTAGACAGTATTCTTATCTTTAGGTTTAATAGTAAACAAATACACTTTAATGTTAAAACTAATAGCACAAAATCGGTTTTCATAAACAAAAAAGTATAAATTTAACAACATTAACCTATTTTAAAACATCTAATGTACTATATATGTATACAAAATGTTTTTTTCCAGAAATAATATTTCATAATAATAATTATATTTTCATCCCAGAAATCTTAGTCCAAATTTCAAGAATTGTATACTTTCTGAAAGAAAATTTGGTCTAGTTTGTAAGTAAAAAAGTCGTTATGTACAAAGTCTTTTATAATAAAACTGTTCAAAGCAGTTATACATTTGGTAGTGGTTTAGTGATTTATGACTCTTAAAGCCTTTTTTGGAAATCTAAACAGATCGCATATTAACAAATTAAAAAGTAATGACAGAAACAATAAATGGAAAAAAAAAACCTAGAAAACAACCTAGGTAAAGGTGAATGGATACAGTCAAATCAAACCTACAAAATTGTGCACCAGGATCAAGACTAAACGAGAGTGAAGATAGAGAAAGGTGGCAGAAAATATTTGAAGCAGTAAAGGCCCTGAATGTGCTGTAAAATCTTAAAGAAGAAGAAAAAGATATTAAAAAATTGCACACAGAACACACGAAATAAAATACTATGCGACGTTGTTTTGCATCACAAATCGAGTTTATTTTCGATTAATTTCTTCCATTTATTTCGTTTACAGCCAAAGGCTTAAATCATTAAGCAATATTACAATTAAATATAGTAGTAGTATTTAGTATTAAAATATTTCAAATTTAAAATATACAGGCTACAGTTTATATACTAGTACCTATAGAAATTACGCTTTCGGTCTGTTATTATTTATACTTATCGTTTTTGAACAGTTGCTCCCTGCCCTATTATTGTATATTGTACACGAATAGAAGTCCAATAGTAACATTAATGAGATTATAGAGTATACGAGACCACATCACTGCTGTATGTTTGACCTACCACTTTTAAAACCTGCTACTCGCTCCTACACCTTCCATCCTATTATCCTAAGACCGTGATGGCTAATCCATATAGGCAAGGCGTAGTGTAATAATTATTGGTTAAGGCCAGTCTAGATGTCAAGCACTTGAGCACTAAAAACATATGTGTAGTGTATCATCACCGAACAGTTCCTTATCAATTTTGACCAATTATAATCAAATAGATCTATACGTAATTTGTTCCACAATGTACAATTTCTACCCCTCATCAGTTTAAATATCCTCCCAATAAATTTATTCGTCAAATAGCTAGGTTAGGTATCTGGAAAACAGAATAATTAGGTAAATTGAAAAACACTTTTCACTTTATTCTGAAGTTTATTTGACGTAGGTATCTGGAGAATAACTGCTTTTAAAAACTGAGTTTTAAGTCTTAGTACAACTCGAACTTGTATTAAATTGTTTACTTAGCCAATACAATAGTAAACAATTAATAGTTAAACCAATACTTACATGTCTCGCTGTGCCCATAACTTAAAACTTTTAATAATTAATAAAATAATTAAAATATTATTTAATTAATATAATAAATATTAATTTACATTACTGACCTGTGATTTAATCATCAAATATATACCTGTTATCTCTTAATGCATTTCATCAACTATACGTATAGATAGAATATAGTTCAATATAATTCCCATAAATAATATAAAACTAGAATATCTGGTTTGATACTTCGACAGGGAGACTTGCAATATTAGTTAAATCGAGTCTTACCTATAATAAACTTATTTGTGCTAATGTAAGTATCTATATTATTATATTGCAAAAGTGAAATAAACGTATAGACATACTTTCTACTTAGTTGGTAGATTTATACTAATTCGCATTGATAGAGTAATACTTTACAACCCTATATAATAATAGTTCCCAGAAACGTGTTTATTGGTTTTGGTTACCCGGGTGATAGTATACCTTTTATTTTATACATATTGAAGGTTTACAGAGTATTTCATTATGTTTATAAAACTCTGTTTGCTATTTATCAAATACCTAAATGTAAAAATACTAAAAATATAAAATATTGTAAAATGTAATTTATCTTGTTAGAAGAAAATGATAATCATTGATAACATAGACTCATAATCAATATTAAATGTGATTATAATATTAAATATTATGACGTGACATTAATTGTTTTTATTTTTATTGATTAGCGGTATATACAATTTATTGAAATCCATCAAAAAATACATGTAAAACAATACGAATTAAATTGTAAGGCGTAATGTAGTAGGTATATCGGTTCGCTATTAAGACGACGCTATACCCATATACCACCCCCCCTGTGTCCCCTGACTATTGCACTAGTGTCCACTAATCAGAGGAGGTTAAAGTCCCCGTTCCCAAAAATGCTGCAATTTCGAGACTTCACTATATAGGATTACAATATTTTTAAATTGATTTAATGACTTATATTGTCACAAAACCAAGTCCCTTCAACAATTAGTTATATACTATAGTGAATGAGGCATTGATCAATTAGGTTAAGTTAATTAGGGTCTCAGGTTCAATATCCGACGGTGACAGCAGAACCAAGATTTCGTTTTTTTGTATTTTATTATCTATTGTATTTTCATATCAGATTTAAAAAATAAAATAACGTATTTTAGCTAGTAATATGGTGACGATATTGTATTGTACATCCCCACTTGATATTGCGTAGATACGGAATATGAAATGGAAGATATGATATGGTAGATATGGAAGATTCCATGCACATCTTCGTTAGTTATATTAGTTTTTGGGAAAAGCCGAATTCAAGCATTATTCTGTACAAGCTGCCCCTGTGTATGCTATCATACGCTTTTTTCTAAATCAATGAACAATTGCCACAATCTGAATCAGAATCAGAATCTAAAAAAAAAAACCTCACAATATCATAATAAAACCAATTGATCCCTTACTGTGTTCAGAATCTAAAAGTAATGATACCTCTGTGGTATAATGTGAATCCGCTTATATTTTTATTTTTTATAATTTTAAAATTATTGTGGCGAATTGAATAAATTATACTAATTTATCAAAAGTAAAAGTTTTGGATTCTTATTAGCTCCCTACCTTAACTAAATGGCCTTCATGAGAGTTATTTCGTTGTAAAACGGTTTTTTTTTTAATAACAAAATATGTGTAATTTATGTATACCTTTATTTCTCTTTATATTATCATCTATTACTTATAGAACGTAACACCTAGGTCGTAGGTACCTACTAAAATAATGTACACAATAATGAAGTAACCGAAAAAGTTGACTGAAATATTTTTTTTCTTTTACATATTTTATGATTATGTAAGTATTTTAATTAAAATAAAAATTTGCATTTTAACTTAAACGGTTTTTTTTTTTTTTAAATTATGATAAATAAAGTTTTTGTTTTACAAAAAATACACAACAATAGCTAAAAAAAACGCAAAATCCTCAAAAAAAAAAAAATGGTGATATTGCTGATGAATGTGTCACAAAAAGTTATTTAATTCATGTCTATACGCAACAATAAACTATTGCTAACGAAAAATGATATTAAACCCTACTAGGTTAAGCAATTATTTAATACAAATTATTACACCAAAACATATTAATTTACGAATTGTTTACTAAAACGGTGCTACTGTTTTTACCTGAATTACCGCTTCTTTTTAGTCATGG